CTTTTTCACACCACTGTATATATATATATATAAAATTTTTTTTTTGTGTAAAATATAAGTATAAATATTAATATTTATGCAAAATGTTATGCTATTGATGCCACGTATACAGTTAGATTTTTTTCTTTTGTTGGGGATTAAATGTGACCTACCTGTGAGATTCACTTTTAAAGGAATGCCTTTAAAAAACAAGACAAGAATGTGCCTGGTTTCAATGTCTGTACTCCAGATCAGGTCTGATATTCTTCCTCTGTGCAGAATGAAGTGCCACAGCTGGTTGGAGAGATCTACCAGAACTTCTTTGTGGAGAGCAGGGAGATCCCGGTGGAGAAGGCTCTTTATAAAGAGATCCAGCAGACGCTGGTGGGGAACAAGGGTACAGACGTGTTCCACAGGATCCAGGGAGACGTGTACGAGACCATGAAGGAGCGCTATTACCCATCCTTCCTGGTGAGCGACCTGTACGAGCGGCTCATTAAACGAGAGGAGCAAAGGAGCAGCTCACAGTCCAGCAGCGAGGAGAAAGACGACGCCGTGAGTTTAACATGATATGAGCCTGGCTTCTACATCCAAACACTCCATCGCCATTTTCGGTGATTTTTCTCTTGTATTTCTGTGCGTTTAGGGTCCGGTGATGGAAGGAGGGGACGTGGCCCTGGATGAAGGCAGCAAAGGCATCAACGAACAGGCCAGTTACGCCGCAACCAAACTACACCAGCTGTACGAGAGGCTGGAGTACAAACGCCAAGCCCTGGGCTCCATCCAGAACGCACCACGACCTGATAAAAAGGTAAACCCAGAATTATAGCCCCATTGATGTGAAATATTATCCTTTTATCTGAAATAATAATAAATAAATTCTGATTGATAATTTTTTGTGCGTCAGATCTGTGATTGGCCAGTGCATCCATGTGATCAATGGACACGTTTGTGATTGGTTACAACTAATTAATTTGAATGTTCAACCCTATTTTTTACAAAAACACATTTTAAATGAAACTTTCATTGTGCAGCCCTAATATGTTTTTTTTTGTTGTTGTTTATAAATGAGAATATTTTGAATTTAACAAATACATTAGGGATCAAAAGTTTAAGATTTTTAAATATATTTTTTTAAAAGTCTCTTATATTCACCAAGGCTGCATTTATTTGATCAAACATACAGTAAAAACAGTAATATTGTGAAATATTATTACAATTTAAAATAACTGTTTTCTATTTGAATATATTTTAAAAAGTAATTTATTCCTGCGATGCAAAGCTGAATTTTCAGCATCATTACTCCAGTCTTCAGTGTCACATGATCTTTCAGAAATCATTCTAATATGCAGATTTGCTGCTCAAAAAAAATATATCTTATTATTCTCAATTTTAATTAATTTAAAGCGTCCTTGCTAAATATTTGCTAATAATAATTATTTTATAAAAAAAAACAACAAAAACTTTTGAACAGTAGTTGAATCCTGTTTTAATAGGCCGTTTGTGTCTTATGTGTCTCAAATTAATAGCACATTTTTTTCCCATATCTCAATTTAACTCTATTTCATTTGCTAAATAAAACTTGTTATAGAGAATATTTATTTCAGTTTATTTTAGAGTATTGTTTCAATTTCCTAATGAACGTTAAAACAAGGGGCAGGAAGGAGCAGAATTATAAACAGCTGGCTATCAGTGTCAGCACACAAATATTATATTATATTATATTATATTATATTAATGTCTGTACTAATGCATGGGAAATACTTTCTAGTAGGGTGTCAAAAAGACCAGTATTTCACAAGCATTTTTTTTCTTCCTATTATCAGTAGTGCTGACTCAGTTCAGTCACTGAGGTCAAACCAGCTGCGGTCTGAATATAAGCGGCCAAGCCAGCCATGGTAAAAAAATATTGGTGTGAACTTCCTTTGAAAACCACACATTACAACTGTAGACTGGTGTAGATGAAGCCAGACTGATAAATGATGTCTGAACGACCAGTTTTCAATGTGATTTTTTTGTTTTATTTTGTGCAATACTAGACACTGCTTACAGATACACTACTGTTCTGTAACAGGAATTTTTTTTTTGAAAGAAATCAATACTCTTACTCGGCAAGGATGAATAAAATTGATAAAAAAATATTAAGAAAAATATTAAGCAGCACAACTGTTTGAGATTTCTGAATGATCATGTGACAGTGAATGATGCTGAAAATTCAGCTTTGCATCACAGAAATAAATTACATTTGAACATTTATTCACATAGAAAACAGTTATTTCAAATTGTAATAATATTTCACATATTTACTTTGTTTTCAAATAAATGCATCCTTAGTGACCATAAGAGACTTTGAAAAACATTTAAAAAAAACATACTTCTGAACAGTAATGTACCCAAGATAAAAAGCAATAACTTCAAGCATTATTTACGTAATTTATCACTAGTACTGGTATCGACTTCTGAAATTTTGGAGTTCATACAGTCTGTACTGTGTGTGTGGTTTGAGTTAATCCATTAGCTGAGACGGGAATCGATTTCTCTCGTGTACTCTGAGGGTCTCTTTCTTCCTGTGCTGGCAGAGATCTCAGGGGCAGCGTTTCCATCAGAGTCAGGGTCAGAGACCTGCATAATATTTCACATATTTACTTTGTTTGCAAATAAATGCATCCTTAGTGACCATAAGAGACTTTGAAAAACATTAAAAAAAAACATACTTCTGAACAGTAATGTACCCAAGATAAAAAGCAATAACTTCAAGCATTATTTACGTAATTTATCACTAGTACTGGTATCGACTTCTGAAATTTTGGAGTTCATACAGTCTGTACTGTGTGTGTGGTTTGAGTTAATCCATTAGCTGAGACGGGAATCGATTTCTCTCGTGTACTCTGAGGGTCTCTTTCTTCCTGTGCTGGCAGAGATCTCAGGGGCAGCGTTTCCATCAGAGTCAGGGTCAGAGACCTGCGCTGGAACTCATGAAAATGCCTTTCTTGTAGATTGTGTCACTAAATTAAAACTTGGTAACTGTGTATGTATCGAAATTAGTGCAAATTAGAAAACTGCTTGATTCATGAATATTAATCAGGTTGTGTGCGTTCGCTGGAACTGATTTGCTGAAATCAAAACAGGGACGATAATAAGTGAGCG